CCAAAGATTCTGTAACTGCAATGTGAACAGTGTCGAGATAAGGTACCAGGTAGTTAGTTAGCTACGCAACGGCACCGTTTAATGTGGCTATAAAGACGTATTCTTGACTACAACGCAGTATCATGCATGCTTATTGAACAGTTTTTATTCAAATAATGGGACATATATGTATCACCCTAGTAAAAAAGACGTTTCTATAGATAATCTTGTGTAAAAATAATGAGTGCATTTTTTGAAAAGGCTTCCTACATACGAACTGGAATTCAGCTGCTCTAGTGGTTCGCAAAGCCTGATACTACATCAGTAAGTCTCCCAAGTTAACATGTAAATTACTTTCACTTCATTGTCTGTAATAGTTATTCCCTCGGGGTTGAAGCGCGTAGGTCTGTGTAAAATACAGCGAGTTGAGTTCTAACACTGTTATATCAGTTTCTGTGCCAAAGATGTTTGATTCATGAAGTGATTTTGATTTACACAGTTTCCAAACTTTACCATTTCTGTACCTTTGTTGATAAAACTTTATATATATATATATATGCTGTCAGCAGTCCCAGCCATGTTGACATAATCTATGAAAACTAAGTTCCCTATCCCACTTCCATCACCCACACTCTGTTCAGTAATAATAATGGTAATCTCATTTTATGACTACAATATCACTGTGCCGTTTTTGAATGACTATGTCTTTATATGTATTTCTGGTGGTTTTCAAGCTGTTCCCTTGTCTTTCTTTGTATAACGGTAAGTAGATTATGACTTCAATTCTCCATCTAGTCCTGGATGTAGTCAGTTCACTTGCCTAATCGCTTAAGAGAGATAAAAAAAGTTCTTATTTTATTTTTAAATTATCGTTGTTGTATTTCTTCATTAATATATAGTTCTTTTTGGCGATGTGCTGACCACACACAGAGGGAGGATAAATAAGTCTGGTGAATGTAGTGGTTTCATATCATTTAACACTGTAGCTATCTACATGAGATACTTCTTATCTTTCCGCTAATCGAATGGAAATAAAAGGTTATAAGCGGTTTGCAGTAAATTAATTAATCAATTGTGGTTATCTCTTATTGGTTTTTTTATGTAACATCTGTTACACTTAGTTCAGGTTTATAATCTCATGATAAAAATAACTGTGATAACGCGGTGTTTACGAATACAGGAGCTTGGTTTTATCAAATAATTGTTTAGTGTTTATGTGTATAAATCAATCACTTTCTAAGCAATATTATTTCTTTTTATTGGCGTAGCAGTCAATGATTAAGTGTTATGCTAATTGGTTGGAGGATTTTATCATGAGCTGGCATCAGTTAGAGAACCATTGGAAAACCTGGGAGTACTAGACAGCTGTTCATATCGTCCTAGTTTGGGACTCTTCAGCAGTACACAACCACAGCGGCTTGAACTCAGGACCTTCTGCCTACAAAACAAGCTAGCTCGTAGCCCATTAAGCCACTGGTGACCCGCTCCAGTGGCCAGCCCATGAATTCTAACTTCTGTTGTGTTAATTCACAGAGGATTATGCTAAAACGGAAAAAAAACTCAGGAATTGTCTGTTTCAACAGTGTTTGATAAATGGATTCCAATCCATTGGATGAGGATATCTATTTACTGATCTGACAGATTCCAATGAATAGATTTAGGTTCATTTGTACTTCAAGGAATTTTTGATTGAAGATCCTTAACAGCCTATCCAGTGCTGTTTAGTATACAAGCTTTTTATAAAGTTATGATGGATTTTGGATTTTTTTTTAAGCAGTAATAGCCAACGTGTATATACTCGCTATTTTCATCATAGAATGATGCTTACTTATTTAATTACATTTCAATTCATGGATAATCCCCATCCAGGCATATATATTTGCGATTGTACAGCTAAGAAAATGAATTCGCCGAAAAGAGACTCTTCGCTGATCTACGTGTTTTGTTTTCATTAATTACATTCGTCTAATAACATGCTTGATTTAACTTGTTTTGCATCAACCATTTTCGTAGTCTGTGTCTCTTGTTAGACAGTGGCCAATTTTCTGTTTTGACATTTGTCAATATACACCGTCGTGCAAGTTCATTCCTACTTGTCCTTAGACTGACCTATTAAGGGATGGGTGATTAGTAAATTTTGTTGTTGTCGTTGTTACAAGGGTTCATTGTTTGTTCGCTTGCTTGTATTTAATTTATCGTTTGTTGCTCGTTCATATTGTATTGCATCGTTTGTTTAAACTAGATAGATAATTGACCTGAATAGTGAATATTCCGAACACCGCGAAATTTATATGTATGTGTGTGTGTGTTTAGATTTAGAAAGTCACTCTACACAATATAACTTAATCCCCAAAATACCCTTATCAAAAGAATTCTACCGAAAGTTTATCTATTTGTTTTAAAATATAATCTTAAAATATCGTGTTTCGAGAGCAATTGCAACTTTGATAAGTTGTAGATAGCCTATGCTGTGCTCTCCTTGTTCCTTAGACCGATGACCTGCTTAAACTACAGTGCTACCTTAATCTTCCATCTATCTATCTATCAAAATGCATAGCATTTACCCCATTTCTCATGACATTAATCATCCAGTTATCACTATGAATTTCTGTGTATACTTGCGTACATTGCCAAATACAATCCTACCTACTATTATGAATTTTTTGAAGGAAATGGAGCAAGAGCATTGGTTAGTTATTGAAGCACGCTTCGGTTGGAACAACATTCTTTCAGGTGACGTATTATCGACCATTATATTAAGTGAGGATTCTGCACAAGTACGAAATGCCTTGCCATATATATATATATATATATAAGATTCGTAGCTCAGGTGGATGATTTTGATTTGGTTATGTTCCCTGAGCTGGTTGGTTTAATTGTGAAGCTTTCGTCGCCCCAGCTTTTGTTGAAGATGTCTAGAAGGACAGCGACGCTTCGCAACGAAATCAGCCAGCTCAGAAAACACGACCAAATCTGTCTGTACCTGATGATTCCTGATATGTGAACTACTGAGAACACCTCTAATACACAGTTAACTTGATTACTGCTCAGAGTTAACGGCTACTCCTAATCATTCGATGACTTAAGTAAAGAGAATGAAATCCTGACGACATCATAAACGTCATTGACCTCTGAGAAAATACATATCACCTATTAATCCCAGGTTATCCATAACTGCATTGCAGTTAAAGCTGAATACACTGCAAGATCATAAAATTGAGCATACATCTCTCCAGTTAAAGCATGGGACTTGACAACCGTTGAATTTGTCTTGTTTTTCGACTCTTTTACTTAAATCGTCAACCGACAGTGTTTCAGTGCTGTCTTCTCAAATGTGATATTTTCACATTATACTTGGGTAAATAGAAATAAATCGTCACTCTGAGTTTTCTTTTCATTCTCTTGAGTGAATAAAGCATTATTTGAAAGTTATTAAAGTATATTTGCCTCTTCATTCCCATTTCATTCTACATAGCTTGGATACACTTTCTTCAGTAATATCATGCTCAGTTTTAAGTACTAATGATATCATGAGCACTTCATATTGTTCCATCTAGACCCATTAACACTTATATGCTTATAACTGTTGCTATTATTCTTTTGACTGCTACTCAGTGTGTTTAGAAACAAAATTGTTTACAGGATTTCATTATGAGCTGACATTGGTTAGAGAACCATTGGAAAAGCTGGGAGTACTGGACAGCTGTTTTGTCGTAGTTTGGGACTCTTCAGCAGTACGCACCCACCGGTGATCGAACCCAGGACCCACGAGCACGCCTTGTAACCAGAAGGTACTCCCAGGTTTTCCAATGGTTCTCTAACTGATGTCAACTCATGATGAAATCCTGTAAACAATCAAATCCCTAGAAACCATCTGTCTACTTTTTACACATCTCTCCTAAATTACGCATAACTTTCGGTCTCTATAAATAAGATTCCTTTTGTTTTACTTTCATCTTTTAATTTGTTTTCTTGACAAGAGTATCACTCCACACTTCACACTTTCAATCTCTCAAATTTTCATTTATTTTGAATGCCTGCCAATCATTCCTGCTTCAAAAAAAGGAGAGAGAGAAAAAAATTAAGCCCTTATCCTTCTCCTCTCGTTAGCATAATTGTCAAAAATTAATCATGCGCTTTCGGTTAATATTTCTGTATTACTTAGTGACTGAATTTTTGTAGTTTTTTTCACACGATCGCTGTTGTTGTTGTTGTTGTCGTTGTCGTTGTTACTACTACAATTCTTTTTTCTTCTTCTTCATTATTCTGTGACATTTAACTAAGAATTTCGTCTAATCCAATTGATTTCTAGGTATCACCTTACCTGCTTTACTTATTTTTGTTGTTGTTGTTGTTCGTTTGCTCCTTCCGTCCTTTCTATTCTGTTCTGTTGCTGTTTCGTGGTTGTTGTTGTTGTTGTCTTTTTTGTAATCCTCTTTGTCTTAATTAAACTTCCATTCATTTCCTCTTTTGTTCCATCGATAACATTAATAATTTTTGTTGTCGCTACTATTTTTACTGGCATAATACTTCTTTTCAGCCTTATAACTAACTTCTAATCCCTGTCAATAGCTCAGTGCTGCTGCTGTTGCTTATTTCAAACTTTCTTCTTTTATATTCACTTCACTGCGCATACAATTTACTATTGATATTTAGTATCAGTAGTTAAAAAGAAACAGGGACGTGTTGTTTTTCCTTTTTTTGCCTTTAGTCCCGTTTTAAATAATATCACAGATAGTATTTGAACTCTTTTTGTTGACAGGTAAATCTAAACTAGTTAAACGATAATTTCTGGAAAAAAAATATTTCCTTCTGTACCTTTCGCTTCTTTTATCTCCACAGCCTTTTTCTTTCTCTCTCTCTCTCTCTCTCTCTCTAGCACATGATGACTAGTCCATAATTATACATGCATACTTGTCTGTCCCCTTGCTAGATAAGAGATAACAGTAATAATTGTAATATTTTGCGATAATATTTTTTCCGCCTTTCTACGTGTCTCTTGCCTTCTTCTTACTTTTCAGACTTTTATCGAACAATATCTTGCCAAATGTATCACTCTGTCAAACTGGTTTACAGTCATTCATCTCTACTAATGCCAGTAATCCAAATGATGCGATATACCTGGGTACAGGACAAAATGTATCTATGATGAATAATGGTACAATTGGACATGACAACAGCGCAACTGTCAACTGCCCATCTCTTGTTCAGACGTTTATATCTGCCTCACAACAACAACAACAACAACAACAACAGCCGAATCGTTCTAACAATCCTGGATTAGTTGACTCAACAAGAAGTATTGAACCGACTTATTCGACGACAACTGACGCATTGCGTGGTAAAGGCAAAAGTCATTCAGACTCAGTGGTTGTGGTTGAAAGGAAATCAAAGCATCATTGTCCTTGGTATTATTGGATTATCAGTATATTGATATTAGCTTTTCTTTTGGCACTTGTACTGGCTGTATCGTTTTCAGGTAAGACATATTCAATATATATATATATATATATATTCTCGTTTAACTCTAAATTGAATATAACTCGTTATGGGAAGTTACTAAATCAATCGACTAACTAAACTTTCTTTCTGAAAGATCCGTTTGAATATGACTAAACACACAGTGATCTGTTTACAAACACTAGAAATTGATAAACTCAAGTTTCATTCTGTTTGTAACTTAGCAACCTGAAAAATGGATCCATGCCATATATCGAGTTACAACATGTATTTATTGTCGGTTGGTTTTCAGGCTATCACTATCGACTGCTTAATAACGGATTCAACTAGTCGGTCTGTCTATATTCTAAAAATCCATCTTATGGAATTATGCATGTTTACTATATTGGCATCATATGTATTTCAAGTGAATACTTTCCTGTCAGACTTAAATAAAATTCTATTATCTTCCAGTCCTACATTTTTTGCCTATTAACTTAGGCCAAATCAATTATCTAATATCTTTCAATACATTGGGTGCTTTGGTTGAATCTTTTAAACACTAAACTGCAATACCACCTCCGGTCATGACGCATTTCACGGGTTACATTACACTCAAGTCTGATAAAGTCCAGTCACTCACTATGAATAACTAGAAAACTTGCCAGTGGGTACAATCTGATACTGTAACTGGTTACTGCTATGTACTTCATCTGGGTCAGTGACCATTTGAACAGCTGACTAATGACTTTATTGTGGTGTTCAACCACACTGGTTCCAATATTATACGGGCATTGAGTAAGAGGTAATGAGATAAATTCATCAGCGTGCCCGTTTAACCTTTGGGGTGGCAATCCAAAAAGCATTTCATACATTCTCTCTGACAGACTGTTTCTGTTTTACTAATGTGAGTAGTGCTTAGTAGAATGAAGGCTTCAGCTGCCTGTTATGTTGAGTATGGAACACACATTCTTCAATGAAATTAGTCTGATAGACATATGATTTAACTTTTCTCTTTCCTCTCTTATCAATGGTAATCAATCACAAGACAATTGACCTGGCGTGTTTTTGCTTTATCAGAATTCCAATTGAATTCATTAATTCCTTTAGAGGATTAATTGGTCTCGTTTTGTCTTCTTATTTCGAAAATAAAACAACATTTTATTACTTATTTATTTTGTGTTCTGCCCTATATTGAATAATTTTTCCCTTATTTGACTACCAACTTGTATCAAGAGGTTTGACAGTATGAATGATTCATTCAGGTGTCCCTCCTCCTCTCATACTTTTTCATCATTATTTTATTGCTTTTCTTCTCTGCCGTTTTGTATTTACTTACAAAATGATGTGGTTTGACCTTTCTCTAGCATTGTGACTATCATCATCTTGTGTGTGTGTGTTGTCTAAAGTCAGTCTAAATCAGGTCAACAAGCTGTTCCCCTTTGTTTCTTTCCTCTCTTTAAACATCTTGATAAATCTATATATATTTTTTTGTAGCTTGCTTCCTCTGTTCACTCTTCACCTGTTACAAAGTTGTGGGTGGAGTGGGGAGGTTACTGACTCCATATTCACTGTAGTGAATCATTCCCCTCAGTTTAATCACTCACCCATGTTTCAACCTCTTGAATCCTACCAACTGAATTTGGTTGGGCACTGTTTAATTAAATGACAACAGCGTATTGATTATTATAATTACTAGACTTTTCAACCTGCACTAGCAAATGCTTTGAATGTGAGAGAATGAATTCTTATTTCTTGCTCAAATTTCAACTCTTCAAATGTTAATGTGATGCAAATTTTGTTTTTCTTTCCATATTATATATTCAAGCGAGTTATTGATACAACATTGGACTAGTAGCTAAGTTTATGCCAGCCTAAATCCATTTGTTGGACCCACAGAAAAAACTTGGAGGATCTGGACTTCGCCGATGATATATGTCTGATTTCCCACAAACTGGAAGATATGCAAGTCAAAAGAAACAAGCTGGCAGAAGAAGCATCCAGAGAAGATAGGCATTCAAGTGAAAATAGATAAAACAGAGGTGATGGAGATTCCTGGTCAACAAAAACAACAGACAACAATCAGCCAGCATAAATGGGAGGAACCTGAAAGAGACAACCTCCTTCACCTGGCTACCTCGGAAACATCGTTTTAACTACAGGCGGAACTAACGAGGATATCAAAGCGAGAATCGGGAAAGCAAGACAAGCTTTCATTACTCTCAAGTCTGTGTTGGAGGTCAACAGCACTCATCATCAAAAATAAGATCCGGATTTCCGACTCCACTGTGAAGTCAGTGCTACTATATGGATCAGAGACTGGGCGCGTCATAAAGAGCATCTCAAGCAAACTACAGACCTTCATTAACAGTTGTCTTCACTCAATGCCCAAAATCAGATGGCCGGCCAGAAAAGATCAGCAACAGGGATCTCTGTCAATTAGCGAACCAACCAGGAACCGATTGTGAAACAAATAGGCAGGAAGAAATGGAGATGGATTTGCCATACTTTAGGGAAACCATCAAGTGACATCATTAGACAAGCCATCGCTTGAGTGTAACCCGAAAGGGAAGCGGCGAGTTGGTCGTCAGTGGAAGGGTGACTTGGAGGAGGCTATGGGAAGAGGAGATGAAAGCATGTGGGCAGACTTGGAGCTAGGTGAAAACTCTAGCAGAGCACCGAATGCAATGGAGACGCGCGGCTGAATCCCTATGTTCATCTAGGAATTAAAAGAAATGATAATAATAAATCCATTTGTGATCGATGTATTTTGCGTATCACTGTCCTCACGTATTTAAATACATCCCTATCTTATTTTTCTTTTGTTTATTTCTTCTATAGAGGAGAAAAAACGTTTGGATTATCGATTACAAGAGCGATTTGCCCAGGATCCTGCAATTATTGGTATGTTTTTACTAGTGCCCTGTTATTATTTACATTGACTTTGCAGTTATAATTGTTCCTATTCCTGCTATTTTCTAATTTCACCCTTGAATTTGAACTTTTTTTCGAAAAATTGTTTAAAGGCTAAGTTAAAGTATGTACATTTTTGTACAACCGCCCCAAGAGGGATATATGACTATTGTCTCTACACAGGAAGCATTTCGGACATCTGGTGGTTCGGGATGTGGAATATGTTCATGAGTCGAGATGATGTGGATGGGGGCCTTCACAAGAAAGTAAAATCTCCTATTCATTCTTGTCTTGGTCAGCGGACGGGAGCCAGCGGTGAGAGGATTGTCAGCATATTAGATGCTCTTGCTGGCCTTATGTTGATTTAAGGAATTATCCCTAATTCGAGGACGATGGTTGTATGCTATCTGCAAGGTAGAAGTGCAGTTATGTGACCAGACCATGTGAGTAGCCATGACCCGCTGAGATGGGGCAGTATGTGCCATGTGAGAAGCAGCCATGGTTTGGTTGAGACCGGACAGTGGGGAGTGGGAAGACACCTACCGCTGCGGGAGCGTTAGTGGGGTGGTTGGCATGGGGTGCTCATTTTCATGCTGCAACGTCGCTGAGGTGTTGTCTAGTCAGCACGGATACTGACTCTGGAGAGAGGGTGAAATGGGTTTTCGGGAATAGAAAGTACCGCCCTCTCCTCTGGAGGCCTTGTTGAAAATACGACATAAAACGCTCGAAGTATTATAGCCAAAGTCAAGGTCTTTGAAAAGTTGACTTTCAAGGACTGATCAGACAGAGGGAATGCTATGAAATGTCGTTTCAAATCAAATTAGCCTGCCTATTTGGACTTAGAGAGGGTAGATACAGTATTCTACTTAGTTACTACATACTTTTTCTGCAAATCTAGATTGTTATGCAGTGTTACGGTCTTTAAGATTAAGGTTTAGGACTTAAGGTTAAAGTGGGGATTAGAGTTAGAGTTAGGAATAGGTTGAAGAATAGTGTCTTAAATACCAGTGGATCTCAAAGTACCATAACATAATGTCACTTGGATGAATGGGTGTGTCGCGCATGGTGCGAGTTCTCCATAGATCATCTGTATATTGACTAGGAGACATTCTTACTTACATTAGCTACAACTATACTACAGTGTAGCATTATGTTTGCAATATTTTTTAGTGTAATTTTCAACGATTGTGCGACTTTTTTGCAGCTGAATTCTGATTGGTTCTTCAGGGACACTGTGGTTTTGTCTATGATAGTTTAACTTCGCCCATTTAAGAGATTAGTTGCTTTGATATAGGTGATAAAACTATATGTGAACCCCTCATTGTTAGTTCGTAAGATAATCCGATTTTTACTGAAATCTATCAGTCCTTTGAAACATCTCGTTTTTGTTATAAATCTATATTATTATTGGTATGCTTGCTGCCTTGAACTCATTTGTTCATTAGTTGCTCATGAAGGATATTATTTGGACGGGTTTTGTGAAAGAATCAACTCCTAGTGAATGTTAATTTTGTGTTCAACAGTGACATATACAGGACTAACCTAGTTTCTTTTTACCAAACGCAACAGTATCTAATAGTTCCAATTAAAAAATATATCCATGTAGTCAATTAACTCTACATGTGGCGATGTCATTTGTGCAATTGTGTGTTTGGCTAAGACTGGTGTGCACGAAACTGGTCGTGAAAAGGATTAGTGAATTTGCAGTTATATCTAAGCTATTATACTTAGTATGAATGTTGTAGGAATGTGATACTTTAGTCTAGGCTATTTTATTACGGGCCAATTGAGTCGATAGTTCAAGAAGAATCTTCATTGGCTTGAACATCGGTAACACAGTAGTCATTCATTTTCATGTTTTGATTAACAATTTTCAGCACTACTGAGTACCAACGGACACATGTGACCTTGAACGCACCAACCACATGATAAAGGCGACTTTCGTATATGCAATACATATATCCATGATAATAATGAATTAAAAGGCATGAAACTGTTACACAGGATATTCTTCTCTGACGTGAGAGAAAAACACCTTTGTTTGGGATTATAGTATCAAGAGAGTTATGTGACCACATTCTATGCATGTGATTATCTAAGTCTTCTAACCCTAACATTAACCCTAATCTTTCCTTAACCTGAACTTAACGTGAAAATATCCCTAAACTAACCTTAATCTAACTCGAACCAACACCAAGGTCGCCGTCATTAGGTTAGCCTAACCTTGATCTTTCCCTTAGCCTAAACCCTTCACTTTTAATCTTCCCCAAACCTAACCTGGAACTTGCCAGATATCCCATTTAATGATGAAACACCTCATTAAGCATATTTTATGATTACAATATTATTTACGAGGTTTCAGTAACTTGTCTACTGAAAGTTTCAAGGTCATCGGTGTGTGTGTGGTTGCCATTCCATTGTTATTTACTGGTGCTTAAAGTTTAACTTGTCATAATGTTCTTTTTTATCTAATAAATGGGGTGCACTATTCAGTTATGCTGAAAGAAACTTATTAACATAGAAATCTTTATTTCAGTAAATTTGGTTTTTTGTTGATTCTCCCATCCATCTTCTGAACAGTTAGTTATTTTCCACACGTGTGTGTGTGTGTGTGTGTGGTGTCCAGGATGTTACATTATGTATCCAGATGTTTGTGTTCGTTTTGTTGTTGTTGTTGTTGTTCGACACGATTACCCTTTTTTATTATTCTATGTTCTTGTTAATGAATTTATCATGTATCGCTTGAACCCCGAATAGTCTTAATGGTGAGTGAGTGTGTGTGTGTGTGTAACAGACAAACACGAGTATGCAAAACAGACAGACAAACAAACAAACAATCAATGAATTTTATGCAGGGGAATGATTCACTCATGATGGAAGAAACAAGTTTACTGGATGAAGATAAACAAATAGCCTATTCTAGCTGATAAATTGAAGAGAGCTAACTGTGTATATGCCTTTTTTGCTTACATATTGGCTTTTGCATTCACAGACAGTTCTGCATGCATTGATTTCTATTAAAACTACAACTGTTTACACGCCTCTTTTTGTTTTCTATTTCACTGTCAATCGTGAATGAAAAGTGAGACTTATATGTTTAGTTGTGGGTGATGGTGGTGATAGTCTTTCACACTACTGTCAGCTAGCTACGCAACAGACGCACACACACACACTTTACAGCCTTCAATAGGACACCTTTTTTCTTTCCTCTTATAGCTGAATTGTGTTGCAACTGTCCATAATGTCAACACATAATTGTGATTTCTGACACAAATATTGTCAGGTAGACAGGAAGTACTCAAGTGAATGATAATAATTTTTTTCGACTAATCTTCAAACTGACGCGATCGTATTCAACAGAAATCTTGCTGACATATATTAAGTAAGAGATAGAACAAGCCAAACAAATGTCACTATGGTCTGTTAAGTGTGTTAGGGAATTAGAGGAAGTCCCGTCGGGTTGGTTTAGGTTATTGATTATCCCATATACAAGAAGAGAGACAAGTCTTCCTGGGATAATCACAGAGGGATTAGCTTGACTAGTATAGTATCTAAAGTCCTAGGCTCAATAATATTGCGTATACTAAGTGGTGCTCGGGAGGTACAAACACGAGAGAGTTAGGCAGGCTTTAGACCAGGAAGAGGGTGTATTGATCATATCTTCACCCTACGACAGATTCTAGAACATAGGAATTCCTACCGGCGCCCAACAATCATTATATTTCTCGGCCTAAAGGTGGCATTCGATTCTGTCGACCGAGAGGTACTTTGGAGATGATTGGCTGTAAAGGGAATGGTGAGAAAATGCATGGCACTGATTAAGGCACTCTACTCGTACTCATACAGCCAGATAAGGGCTTACGGCAAGTTGTCATCTGAACTGGTGGCGACCAGTGGTGTCAGTCAGGGATATACATTATCCCCATTTCTATTCAATTTCATCATAGATGTACTAATGGACTTAACCCTAGCTCACTTCAGACACTCAGGGATTGACTTTTTACTGTCAGGGAATAATCTGCTTGACTTGGAGTATGCAGACGATATAGTCCTTCTAGGTGAGGACGCTGACAAAATGCAGAGTCTCCTGAACATCTTGAGATGCAATCAATCTACGAATGTTTGGCATGCGATTCGCTCTTGCTGCTGTCAAATGTAAGATGATGTTACAGGACTGGACCACACTGACACCTAGGTTAGAAATGGGGAGTGAAGTGGTGGAGCACGTTGACCGCTTCACTTATTTGGGAAGTACCATCAGCCAGTGCCAAAGGGTTGATCTCTGACGAAATCTCAGCTGAGTACAGATACAGAGGGCTAGTTTTGCATATGCCAGCCAGTTTACGCCGTCTTTGGCGTAGACGTGATATCCGGCTGGCTGTCGACCAAAGGGCGTGTGTACTGCTCATCAGTCCGCTTCGTCCTTCTTTATGGCTGTGAGATCTGGCCGTTGAAAGTGGAAGATATGAATAAGCTGGCTAGCCGTCTTTGATCATAGGTGCCTGCGTTCTGTTTCCTGTGCAAAATCCTATGATAGGGTGAGCAATATTGAGGTTAGGCGTCGAGTTCTAGGTAAGCAGGGGAAACCAATCGATCAGGCTGTGAAATTACACCGACTGAGATGGTTAGTACCTGTGTTATGTGTGCCAAGTCATCGGCTTCCTCGACGACAGGCAATGTTAGCTGACAGGGTCGGGTTGAAAAAGAGTTAGCTAGTGGTGGCCAAACCCAAACATGGCGTCATGAGTCAGTGCAATCCACAGCATTTAGTCTAAGCCAGTCACTTAGGAAGGTGTAGACTTCCTGGTTGGGGTCCTCAGGATGATATGGCTCAAAATCGTTCTCTGTGTCTGGCGAAGATTCATGCACTCCTTTTGACTTATGATTTCCAATGAAGCTATATTGTTCTTCGTTATCACTATTCCTTTGTCTGACACCTCTGTTGACTGTCTCTATTATGTATTTCTTCTACTTTCTTCTCTTGCTCTTGT